TTGTGGTTACTGGTGCTGCCAGTTGTGACTCTGCCATTATTGGTCTAGAGTCTGTGGTTCGTGCGCTGTTATATTGGGGCATGCGAGATAGAGCATCTGCCAGGAAGTTCTTTCTTCCTGGTAAATGTTTGAGCTTAAATTGGAATTGGTGAAAATGCTGGGACCAGCGGGCTTGTTTGGGATTGAGTTTCCTGGAAGTTTTCAGGGCTTCTAAATTTTTGTGATCAGTCCACACCTGGAAGGGGATTTTGTTGCCTTCCAGGAACTGTCGCCACGTGAGTAATGCCCAACGTATCCCATAAGCCTCCTTCTCCCATACGGGCCAGCGCTGTTCTGTTTCCGTGAGTTTCTTGGATGTATATGCACAGGGTTGCAATACTGCATCATCATTTTCTTGTAATAGCACAGCCCCCACTGCCACATCACTTGCATCTGCCTGTATTATGAAGGGCTTGTCCATGTCTGGGTGCCTTAGTACTGGTTCGGCAGAAAAAAGTCTCTTTAGTCTCTCAAACGCTGCTTGGCACTCCATTGTCCATGTTAGTGGCTGGCTAGGTTTTACTGAGGATGCTTCCCTTCGTTTTTAGTAAGTTAGTGAGGGGCAAGGCTATCTGGGCAAATGAGGGGATGAATTGGCGGTAAAAGTTTGCAAAGCCCAGGAAACTTTGTAGTTGCTTTCTTGTGCGGGGTGGTGCCCAATTTAGTACTGCTTTGACCTTCTCTGGGTCCATTTCAATGCCCTGTGGGGATATGCGATAGCCTAGGTAGTCTATCCTTTCCTGGTGGAATTCGCATTTTGAGAGTTTGGCATATAGGTGAGCGGCTCGCAGCTTCTTTAAAACCGCTCTGACAAGTTTGACGTGTTCTTCTTTTGTTTCAGTAAAGATAAGAATGTCGTCCAAGTAAACAAGGACCCCCTTAAACAGGTGCTCCCTTAGAACGTCATTGATTAATTGCATAAAGACTGCAGGGCCCCCTTGTAATCCAAATGGCAAGACTTTGAATTGATAGCACCCCATGGGGCAGTTAAATGCAGTCTTCCATTCGTCCCCTTCCTTGATTCTCACTCGATAGTAAGCTTCCCTTAAGTCTAGTTTAGAAAAAATTTTCCCTTTCGATAGGTGTGACAGCATGTCTTTCATGAGGGGCAGCGGGTATAGGTTGCTTTCACTGATTGTATTCAGGGCCCTATAATCCACGCATAAACGTAAAGAGCCATCCTTCTTCTCTCTAAAAAGGACCGGGGCAGCCACTTTAGGCTTGGCTGGCTCAATGAAACCTCTCTCCAGGTTTTTTTTTATAAATCTTTCCATTTCCTCCTTCTCCTTTGGGCTCATGGAGTATAATCTGGGCTTCGGGAGTTTTGCCCCAGGCTTGAATTCAATGGTACAGTCTGTGGGTCGGTGGGGGGGAAGCTCATTCGCCCTCTCCTCACTGAAGACTTCAGCAAGGTCCCTATATTCCTCTGGTATTTCTGTTAATCTTTTTTCCTCTCCTATGGATGCTTTTTCTATTCTTGATTCTGGTAGCCTCCCTTGGGGTTTTAAGTCCATAGGGTCCCCCTTCAGGAATTTGATTTCTGTCGTCCTCCAATTTACCCAGGGGTTCCATTTTTTCAACCATTCCATCCCTAGAATCATTGGGCATTCCATACCTGGGGTCACCACAAACGTTAAGTCCTCTTCATGGTTGCCCAGGGAGAGATGTATTGGCAAAGTGGCTAGGGTAGCTGGCACCCCCCCTGCTATGGATCCATCTAGCTGGCCAAATGAGATTGGTTGTTCCAGTCTCCTGGATGGGATGCCCAGATTCCCCACTAGTGTTGGGCTAATGAGGCAGCGGGTACAGCCAGAGTCTATTAAGGCTTTCACCTTCACAGCTTCGGGCATGGGGGGGATTAATATAGTCACTGTTTTGAAGATGGGTGTGATGCATCCACTTACCAGGGGTTCGCCCTCCGAGCTGTCATCTGAGGCATCCACCGGCCCTGTGGTGTAGGCTGGAGTTCTTTCCCCTTGGTGAGCAGAGGTGGGGGTTTCTGCAATTTCCATCATTCTCATGGCCGTTTCTTTTGGCTTAGCTGAATACTTTCCGGGTTTGTTGATTGGGGATCTGTCTGGGTTGTGCTGGGGGGCCTTTGAGCGGCATTCTACAGCTCGATGCCCTTCTCTTCCGCACTTGAAACATCCCATTTGCTTCTTGGCTGTATCCGATGATTTCACCGGTTGGTGTGTCAGCTCAGGCGGGGGGCGGCTCCATTGTTTTCCTCGGCGGTGCCTCTTCAATATGTCGATCTCTGCTTCCTCTGCCAAGACGTACCATTCCTCAAGTCGATGTGGGTCCCCTCGGGGCAGGCAAGCATCATATAGATCATAGTTTAGTCCGTCTTTGAAATGGCCAAGGAGGATGTCTTCTGGCCAATTCAGTTTGCTGGCAATGGCCCGGAATTCTTGGGTATACTCAGCCACTGGGCGTTTGCCCTGCCTCATCGTTGTTATTCTTTCACGGGCTTTGCGATCAGCCAGGGGGTCTTCAAATCGTCTTCTCAAAGAGGACATGAAACGGTTGAAGTTACTGAGTTCTGGGGCATTGGAGTCATGCAAGTTCACTACCCAATCCGCAGCTGGTCCATCCAGGGCAGATTGCACGATCCGGATGCGGGCTTTGTCGCTGGGAATATCCTGCCCATATTCCTCCATGTAGCTGAGGACTTGGGTTAGGAAAAACCCCAAGCGTGTTGGCTCCCCTTTGAATTTCACTTCCAACGGTGGACGTCTTGGAATGGATCGGTGCCTCTGTTGTGGGTGGTAGTGCCTTCCGTCCAGATTGCCATCTGTGGTCCGGTAGGGGGTGGGAGCTCCTGGATCAGTAGATGTCCCTGGGGTTGCAGGTTCCATGTCCCCCTCGGTGTCTCTCCCTTTGCGGCTCCAGGAACTGGGGCGGCCGTAGGGTTCAGTATTCTCCTCTCCTAGGGAGCTGAGAGTTCTCTTCATCAGGTCAATAGCTTTCTCTAGGATCCAGTCTGAGTACGGTGCCCAGCTTCCTCCCTCTTCACTTGCGTGCAGGGATTTCTCCATCTCCTGCTTCCATTCTGGTTGCTTGGTCCCCCGTCTCAGGGTCACCTTTCTTGATTCCTTTCCCCACTCACTTTTCTTTCCAACGCCCATCGACCAGCGAGGCTTGTGGTCCTGTGTCTCCACCACTTCTTCTCCTGAGGAATCTGGCCTCTCGGATCCCAACATCTGGCAAGGTTCCAACTGGGTCAGCGGCTCTCTTTCCAGGGAGTTTTCCCCCTCTCTTGCTCCATTGTCTGACATGGTAAATTTTTGCAAAATCCCCCGGCAAGGGTCTTCCTTCCAGGTGGATTAATTTTGCAAGTCCTGTCTAATGTAAGGACCCACCCCACTTTGCATCTTAAGAAGACAGAACTCTTGGAATAATTCTTCCAACAGGAATCCTTTATTAAGAGAAAATGGTTGCAGGCATGCTAGACAGGACTTGGGGTTCAAGCTCTCCCATTCAAGGTTTTAAGGGGTTCCCCAGTAGTCCCACCCAATCAACCCCCCTTCCAGTGATAGTTTCAAGTATCACAATTCCACCCCCTTTCTTCTTTCTTCCGTCTGAATTGAGACTTCAGGTAACTACATGAAAGGCAAGTATCCTGCTTTGTTATGATAAGGTTCTCTAGTGCTAACGCTTTGATGTTACAATAAACACACATTCAGCATTCAGCTCTTTGAAGTGTACTGAAGGAAGTGAGGGCCATAAAGTCCCTTTGTTCTCCCCCTTCTCTCCCTCTTATGGCAGAATCCAAAGAAGGCAGAATTGGGAGTTTCTATATTTGATAATTAAAGATGAAATATGATTGGATTCTGACAGTATGTCAAAAATGTCTATTAATTCTAAGAGGATAAGGATTACCACCTTCTGCACAATTGGCAAGAAAATGTATATGCCTTTTAAAATCTAGTGAGGTGATGTACATAATATGTACAAAAAATCAAATAAATTAAAAAATGCCTTGAGGGTTAGGCAAGTATGATCAACCTACAAAAAAATCAGGGTCTTCTGATGTTTAATTCTGCTACCGTGTTTTCACATAAATCATACTTCCATACAAAAAAGCAATAATTTTTAAATATCTGGAGGTAAATTAAAAATACCAGCTACAGTATAATGTTTAGAAGCTATTTTTGTTACTGACATTATTATCTGGATAAAAGAATAACATTTCCTCAAAGGAACAGTTTGAAAAAAATTTAATGAGAAAATAGGCAACTTTTAGAGAACCAGACAATATCTTGATATCTAGTTCATGCTAGCTGCAGCTACTAGGCCCGTGGTGGCAAACCTATGGCACGTGTGCCATAGGAGGCATGCAGAGCCCTCTCTGTGGGCACACACTGTCACCCCAGTCCTAGGCCTTCAACTGGGTTTTATAAAGCATTTTCACTGTAGGCCTCCACTGCCGTGTGCAAAAAAAACGTTCAATCAATCAATCAATTTCAACTTCTCGCAGGGAAAAAAAAGATCTCGCAAAATTGGAATTAATTGATTGAACTTTTTAGTCCCACCCAGTCTGCCATTACCACCACAGCCATGCCCATCCAACGGGTCACACTCACCCAACAGGCAAAGCGCACCCAATGGGCCCTGCCCACCCGGCACCCAATGATACATAAGTGGGTTTTGGGTTGCAGTTTGGGCACTTGGTCTCTAAAAGGTTCACCATCACTGTACTAGGCAGTTGTTTTGATATCTGAGTGTATAATTTAATTTCCATATAAACAGCATAGTTAAAAAAAGACAAAATTATTGTAGACTTTTTAAATAAATACAGGGATATCAGAGCAACATTCAATAAGTGATCTTTTTCTGTAGCAAAATGACTGAAGACTTGATACAGTGCGTATAAATCCTTTTTTGTTGAAAAAATAAAAATGTTTAAATATTAAAATTAATGAAACATGAACAAATATTTAAATATCAAAGTGCTAAATTTTACTGCCTTAAAGGTCACTGCAAATACATGGTAAGATCAGGTTTACTTGTGAAAGACATACTACATACTTAATTGGTTAACAGAAAGGACATATAGGTGTGTATATGTGTATGAGATTACCCAAACCCATTATATAATTGACTTGCTGTGAGTACACTATTTCATCTTCCTTGTAACAGGCTCTCATGAGCTGGCAGTCATTGCAATAAATAGAGGCAAGCCTTTACAATATGTCATGCATATAAATATTTATACAAATAAAGACACTGCAACAAATTATTTCATATTAATATGGCATTAGCCATAACCATATAAAAAAGGAAAGTACATACATGGAATGTTTAAAATGCAGCTCAATAAACATTTACATTCAGATATTTCTACAAAAAAAAATTCATCCAAATTGTCTTGAATCTATTACTAACTAATTCACTAAACTCAGTTTTAGCCTTACCATGTCCATGTTAATTCTGCCTACTTCAGATGTTCTGCATTGCTATTTATTTAATCAGCCAAGGAATAAGCATATGATTTTTGTTTAATGCCTTGCTGTCAACATATGTCTGAAGAATTTTGTCATAGAAATTAGTGCATGTAATAAAGCCAGTTTTTCTCATTTTATTTGTTTCACCTCTCTTTTGGATTAAATTAAATTATAGCTCATAAACAAGACTTAGCAAAGATAAAATTGCACTTGAACATGGGAGCCAACAGCCATTATCATTTTCCTATATTTTATTTATGAAATCATAGATGAACTTTATTAAGGGAAAAAGAGAGAGAGAAAAAATAATTTATGTGAAGAGAATGAAGTCTGATATGAGTATGTTAAAGATATAAATTAATAAAATATATGCTATTGAAACCAGTTATTTGTTATTAGTCTTGTTTTCAAACACATTGCAGTGACACAGCATTTTAAATGGTGCATACCCTTACATTTCACTGATTTCTTTCCCCAGGATTTGAGGCCTGAGCTGTCACAATTTTCTACCCATCACATAAGAACAGATGCTATGGAAATAGCTTTTATACAGTTAATATTAACACCTTTTTCTGGCTGGAATAGCATCATTAAAAGGTGCCATTAAAAAAACAAATCTGCATTTAATCTTTCTATTCTATAATTTCCATCTCCAAAACTGTAAATTATATTTTAAACCTCAGTTTGCAAAGACATATATTGGGAAAAGTCCATATATATGATTAGGCCTGGAATTACTTCTTGCCTCATTTAACAAAAGCAGCATTGTTATAAGTTAATTCCGATATTTTTGCCTGCTCTGGTAAGTAGTTGCCTTTCATAAGGGAAACTTGACTTTCAGAAAGGTAAGGTATCAAAAAATAGTTTGTCAATAATTGAAGGAGGTGGAACTAAATCTTCCACTTTCAGGTAAAAGATCCGCTGCAGTCCTAGTGTGCAGACAGCACGCAAGTCAGCAAGAACACCAAGAACTTTAGATTCTGCAGACTCAATGTGTTGTCTTTTGCTCTGACAGTTGAAGGCCAAGTGATCTTTCAAGCTGCCCATGATTTTGTTGCATAGCTCATGCACTTTCTTTGGTTCTTTTAATCCATGACGGTCTGCAAAGTAATAACAGACAAAGAATTCAATATTCTTTGGGAATGGGTGTGTTAGTGATTAATTATAAAAAAGAAGTACTAATGTAACTATTCTGTAATCCAGTATGTGAATGTGAATAGAAGTTATGCACTGTATATCTCAATTCAGTGAAAAGTACAATGTTAGCTGATTCCAATCTTATAGCTACACTCAATCATAATAGTTTATTTCCCAGACAGTTACTAAAACAGTTATATGAGCACAGCATTCTAAATGCTACACCCTTACATTTCACTGAAATTATTTTTTTCCAAGGATTTGAGGCCTGAGCTTTCACAGAATATGTTTTGGAGATTTCTTAGCTTCCCTATGGTTGTGGATGCTCAATATCTATGGCAACCATTATTTATTCACTGAATTCAGGGGGAGATCAATATCCATTGCTAGTTCCATCAGTGCAAGGCCTGGAATTCCAGCAGGAATTCGCAGATACTCTTCTAAGAAAATACAGACAGCTCATCCAATCTTTGCTATTTGGATTACTTTGTAGTTTTTCAGCATATTTACTTTTTAAAAGGGGTTAGAAATTAAAATACATTCAAAGTTAACTATTTTATGGCTTAAAATAAATTATTATATTATTTGTAAAGTACTGAAATATATGATGCTGTCTAGGTAAGATAATCCTAAATCATGTAAGCTATTTCCCAATATTTCACTTCTATTAGATGTCTTAGCAAGAGGAGAAAGTTTGATTTTGGTAACATAATATAAAGGCAGATTACTTTACAGTACTATCAACCAGACCAAGTCTCCATCTAATTCAGCATTATTGCTGAAGATCGCCCTGATGGAAAGCAAAAACAGCTGTGCATAGAACTCTCTTTTATAGTTACTTTCAATATTCCAAGTAACTGGCATTCAGTAGTATATTGCATCTACACATTTAGGCGTTTTACTGCCTGAGTTTAATTCCTAACCTTACAGAACTATATTTCCCAAATACATTTTAAACAGAGTGTTGCTTTGTTTACTGTAGTTTTATTTCCATTGTCAATAGGAATTTCTGTAATCTACTCCAGTTTCATTGCTGGAGGCTTTCAAGAATGGACAACTATTGACTTCCGGTTCCAGATTGCGGCGTATGCAGTCGTTCGGAGAGCCTCATCTCTTTGCTGGCTGTTTTCCCTCTGCCAGTAGACCCTTAATCGGGTCGAAAAGTCACCCTGGAGGGGCAACCACCATCGAGGAGGCCCTCGTCAACTCCAGAAGGGTGGCAGCTCCTTCCGCGGTCCAAGCCAGCTCCTTAGGGCTGACAGAGAAAAGATCGGCCAGTAAAATAGTCAATCACCCAGCTGCACCAGCTGAAAGTCTGAAGAACAGCTAAGCATAAAGAACCATCGTGGAGAATCTGGGTGAGACCTTTCCTTCCCTCTCTTTGACCTAACTACTCTCCTGTAAAAAGCTTTTGAACTACTTCCCTGCTTTAAGAGAGCGGCATTTGTGTACTTGGGAAAAAGAGCTCTGGAAATTAAAGAAATAAAACAGCTATTTTTTATTGACTATTTAATTTTTTGGATACTTAGGGATCCTGAATTTTTTTTTACCATTGAACATTATTATTATTCTACTTATTATCTTGGAGATATCTGTTTTGTTTTGTTTTTCTAATGAGATAAACTTTTATTAACCTGGAAAAAAGATTTCATAGACTACTGAGGACATCTTATGGCAAAAACTGTTATTGCAACTGCATCTTCTTTTGCTGTTTGAAGATGGATTTTACCTTCAAATGATAATAAAAAGGAAAAGATAAAAGATTTGAAACAGCTGGGTGGTGAATTTGTCTATTAGAAATTGGAGGTGGATATTTGTTCTTACTAAATATAGCCTCCACTAAAAGATGAAAAGATTTTTTTTCACCACTGAAATGGAGGAATCTTACCCACAGCTTGATTATGAACTTATATTGGAAAAAAATTTGGAAGCTACAGAGTATATGAAATCTTGGAGAAAAATTAAAGATGATACTTCAGAATCACAAATTGATTCTCAAATTTTAATGGATCAAGCTACCGGCCAAGGAACAATAAAGGAGGAACAGAGTAACCCCAAAGAGGCTTCTACCCAACAATATATACAATGTAAAGAGATGGAGGATCCATATCTACAACTCAACTATGAACTTATACCAGGAGAAATTGTGGAAATTACTAAGCAAATTAACTTTATACAACCCCATATACAATTTATGGAGGATTTTGATGATCAAAGAATAACTTTAATTGAGATACCTGCCATGTCAAAAATAACAGAGATTGAAATCAAGACACAAGTTACTGAAAATTGTGATAACATGGACAATCAACTAATAATTACAACATGGAATAAAACTGATTACACCATTCAGATGACACTGGAAGAAAGGGAAGAGAACTTTGACCAGTCTGAAGTGTCGAGAAATACCTCTATGCAAATACTGAGGTTTGATGACGCAGAAGCTTTACTATGGAAACCAGTTTGGAACAGAAAGAAAGCTAGAGTTAGATTTAAAAATGTGATTCAAAACTTCATTTAATGGGTTAAAAAGGCTTTAGAGATCTTGACTTATTTAATAACTAATGGAGTACATGAATTCTGTAAGAGGATACCCTTTGTAGTAATATTTTGTTTTAGATATGATAATTATTTGGAGGGGTAAACGTTACCTAATGGGTTAAAAAGACTTTTTATAGATATAGATTGATTGATAGAATATATATTTAATAGATAGGAATATATCTTTTGGACTGATACTTTTATTTTAAGTAAGACAATTATTTTGTAATAGAAGGAGAATAAGAGGGATTTGTGATAAGAGAAGAAATGGTATCAATAAATGATTTATTAGATTAAGAAATAGCTTATATGTGGAAAATATAAGAATGTTATTGTTGAAATAATGTATTCATTTTAGATATAATTCTTATGTTAGGGAAAAGGGAAATGAGAGATACCCGAAGTGTTAATAAAATGTTTATTAAAAGGTAATTGGAATATAGTAATTGTAAATTACTAAAGCTTAAAAACAGAATTTGGATCTTTATAACTGAAATGTGATTGATGACTGATTTGATTGTTTGAACTCTATTTAGAAATGTATTAATTTGAATATGTAATATTATGAGGGAAATAGAGAGGGAACTTTTAATGAATTAACCTGAGTTATATATGTATGATTTTGCTTTTGGATGAGTGATGTCCCCATCACCACATTGTTTCTTAAGCACCTTGATGTAAAAATTAAAAAAACAATAAAATTTGTTTAAAAAAAAGAAAAGAAAAACAAGAATGGACAACAATTTGTCCAGGATAGTGTAAGGTCTCCAGCCTTGGGCAGGGCTTGGATTAGAAGACCATAGGTTCTTTCCAGCCCTATGATTTTATGATATCAGAAAATGAATTTGCAGTCATTTTCTTTAGAAAATCACTAGATTTATTTATTTAGCATATTGCATATCATACATGGACTAGCAATATATATTAACATTTCACCTAGATTAGTAAAACACAATAAAATATAAATGTTAAAAAGATCTATGCTCAATGTTTAGGCCACCTAACCACTGAAGCACAGAATCATTTATATTAAAAAAAAAAACACCAGATACTGGGTTGGTATATGCCCTCAACTTACAGCAAGTCACAATGTGATCTATAGTTTGATGCGGAACCCCTCAGTCACACTGAGGGGAGGATACTATACCCTATTTATACAGAGAGTCCTGGCTGATGCCATGTGAGGTATGAATCCTATTCAGGATTGCCCATTGCTGATGTGGTAGTTCAAAGCCTGGCACTTTTTTTGTGGGGTCATTTATGTGTTTTCCTATGTCAGGGCATTCAGTAACCCTTTTGGCTTTCCATTGGCAATCAATGTTAATGTTATTAGGCAGATGTTGTGCAAGTGCTGGGTAATGGTGGTCCTAGATGAGTCTTCTGCTGTTAAATGAGAAAGGTAGGCATCCACCATTAGGAGTGAGTTGTTCATAATTTTTCTGTATTCCATCACTAGTGCATCTTGCTTTAAAGCTGATTGTGCTATATGGCTCAGGACAGGAAGCCAGCAAGTTGGAATGGTTTTAGTTCATCTGCTTATAATTCTCATGGTGTTGTTGAGTCTGTATAAGTTACTAGTATGTTAAGCCATACAGGGGCACAATATTCTGTTGTGGAGTAGACCAACCATAGTGAGGGTGGCAGTTGAAGTTCCTCATTTAGTTTCATAAAATTTCTAGAATATGTTGCTCCTAATAGTGATTTTTGCCACCATATTCTCTAGGTATTTCTTGTAGGAGAGAGTCAGTCCAATGTTACTCCAAGGTACCTTGGATGGGGTTCACAGGGGAGTAAGTTGTTTAAATAGACATTCAGGGTTTCATATGCTAGTTTGTTGTTAAGGTGAAAGATCATCATTGGAATCCTGCTTCAATATAGCATGTTGGCGTAGCACCTTATCTACACAACTCTGGTCATATCAGAAGCTGGCTTGTTCCACAGGCAGATGTTCATCTATTATGAGACCTGTTCAACAAAAGTTCAGAAACGGGACTTCCGGTGGCGATAACCGCGCTGATGGCAGCTTTTTTCTTAGCCACCAGTCCTGGGAATGCATAAAAGCCGGCAAGACAGTGACCATCAGCTGTTTGGCGGCTTGGAATCTTCTTCCCGGGTGAGGGGAAGAAGGTGAGTCTTTTCCAGATAGAAGTTGAGCTCCTCTAGTCTCCCAAAGATTCTTTTTTATTTTGGGAGACGAAGGGTGAAAGCTCCTTCGGAGTCTGGATTATCTCCGCATCCCAGGATGCCTTTGTTCTCTGGAACGAAGCCAGATGCTGCTTCCACATCTGCTGCCTAAAGAGAATTGTGAGTAAAATCTAAAGCAGATGGAGCTGTTCAGGAGGATCAGAACTGTGATGATTTTGAACTTTAACTTTAACTCAAGAAAGAATTAATATCTTCTCCAATTATTATTTTAACAAAA